CCGTAGATCTCCTTGAAACTTCAACATGGCGGTCACTCTGAAAATAATGTAATAATATAATTAGATTTATCAATAAAATTTACTTGAACAATCATATAATCTGGGTAATACTAACAATTTATACCTACTTACGTAGGTAACTGTAGTGGGTTACTGTATTGGATGGAATTAAATTTGAATCCAATGATATTATATCATTGTATACGAAAAACGATTCTGAGCGGAGACGGTTTATCTGCCTAGGATAATATATTAGGTACCTATAGATTATTGAAAATTTTCAAATCATAGATTTAAAAAATTTTTTTATAAATTCCTAGCTTAAAACAATTTTCGAATTTTCGTGATTATTACGTATATTGTCAAAATCCAAACTTTGAATGCTTGTAAAAAAAATTGTGACTGTATTTCTTTTATTTTTCAACTGCTATTGTAAAAATATTGAATTAAACTTTCAAGCTTTCTACCCAACAAATACATTTTTATCGACATTAATTTAAAAAAAACTAATAATGATCGAAAATTGCATATGCCTATAAATAGTTAAACTTAAGTCGAAAAGTTTTGAAAATTGCATAGTAGATAGAATATACTTAATAAACATTCGGTTAAAACTGCAGATACATAACTTTAACATTACAAYAGTATTTCAAATCTTCAGACGTATTTGCCAATCTTGGGTACCTGTTTTTTGAGATAAAATAGCCTAGCAGTCTTTAATGCAATAGTCAACAAAGTTTGATGTCTTGAAATTATTTAAGGCTTTTTCAAATTCTGCATAACTTTCAAATGTGTCACCTAGATCTGTCTAATATTTCTTTTTTTAAACATGTACCTATATTCATTATTGTTGCTGAATTGTCATAAAATTATTGAAAAAATATATACCGTAATTGTTAATAATTCATAAGTATGTTATTTTTAAACAGACTAGTATTATTTTGCATGATATATTTTTGATTTATGTGTTTTGTATTTTAAAATACTATGATAAAAAATCTCCGTATACAWCAACGGAAGTGCTTTCATCGATCGATCGTATCATTTCACTTAAATTKAATACGCAAAAAAAATGTCAATTTTTGACTAGAGCCTCTTTACATAACAATAATTGTCCAAGTTGTTGCCGCCATGGAGGTACCAATAGACAGTAGAATTTTACCTCCACCGCTGGCAGTGTAATATTATACGTTTAATTTTTTTTTCATCAGTTAGAAGTTTTTATTTTGTATTTTTTTCGCTTTTTTCGTTGTAATTTAATGGTATTATAACACATTAAATAACATTAAAATCTGATTTTTTTATTGTATTTTAATATYGTAACTTAAAAAATAACCTTGTAACGTTGCCGCGGTGGAGGTAAAATACAACCGGATATACAATTCACTGCTATCGCTGCAGGTTATGTTTGAAAAACAATGCAAAGTGCATCAAAATTTCAGCCCTAGTGGCTAGTGATCACTTATTWACATTATCAGGACGTTAAAATGATTAAAATCTACGYGATTTGCAAAATGAATATTGAAGACTGAAACTGTTCAGTACCTGGTAACTATTTTATACTTACTACTTAGGAGGTAGTAGTATTCAGTWTAGTGTAATTCACGAACTAGTAACTATAGTTTTAATCTATATAAATTATAGTATAGTTTATTACACGTGACATGGTATTAAAAACAAAAATCGCGCTCACAAAGTTATTAATTTATATTATAGTTTCAAGTTTGGTTCATACTTATAAATATTATAATAGTAATATAGGTATAGGTATAGGCACCTATTTTATKAGAATTGTAAATATGTAGCAGTAATAGCCACTCTAAAAATCAAAACGTATTATTAACTACGATTTTGTGAGTTGCCTATCATAATTTGATAAATTGGCACGCATATAAAATATCRAAACAAAACTATGGTTAATATATAAATTAGGTATAATTATTTTAATATTATATATGCGTATCAATTATTTATYTCGCTACCAAAATGCCCAGTGCTCTTTTCCCTATGAAAAAGATTTAAAAATTATTGTATTATTAATATTCTTATGACCTTATAAGTTGATATTACGATGACACAGCTACACAATTATCGCACATATTTATAAGCGTTTTGTCGATTTATTAGAAGCCGCCGCTCGTGGGATATTCAATGTTGTATAGATATAATTTCTACCCACTACAAACTCGCAAAGAAAGAATGCGTTCGATTAAACCTAGTTATCATTACCCATTTCCATTAATAATAATTACTATTGGCTGTATTAACACAGAACAATAGACATATTACATAATCATAATGTATTCCATTATTTACATTTACACATTATTTACGTGTGTATGTATGCGTATGTGTTCCTTTATATTGTATACTGTATACTGTATAGCTATATAATTAAATCATAATTGTGAATATTAAATATAAACGGTTGTCGATATAACACATAACCAACTGCAGACTGCAGTTAACAAATTTGATATAATGATATGATTGTTGGAATAACAGTTGAAACTGTATACTGTATAGTTGTTAATGGTTATTAYTTTATTAGTAATTCCTTAAAGGAATAGGTTCTTCCGAGACATTTTAAAATTTAGAAGGAGTACGGTGATAACTTAAATGTTCTTATAATGGCTTTTGATGTAATGAACTAATGACATACGATAAATTTAATAGTATAGACACATTAGCCATTACTCCATTAGGTATATTTTATACTGTAGTTTCGAAACGAGTTAAAACACATTTATTTATTAAAATTCGGTTAACTTTATTTCAAGAGTATACAAATAAAAATGTATTGTAAATATTTATAATTTATGTTGGTATTTTCGGTAAAATATGTTTGCATTAAAAAACATGAAATATTTATCAAAAAGATTTTCTTCAAAATAAATTTAAAAAATTTAGTGAATTATACAGAAATGATTAGTACTGAATAGAAAAACAAATATATAAACTACAGCAATAATAAATTAGTCACTAGAGTAGGCAATAGATATAAAACAGATAATATTAGGGTGATATGAGAATCGTTTACCTATTTCTATTTTATCTTATTTGTTACTTACGAGGCTACGACGAATTGAACAGATTTCCCTAGTAATAATAATAATATGTCTGCTTGAGAAATAATCGGTTCTCGTACATCGATAGCCAATTGCAATTATAGTGTACTTAGGTACACAAAATTAAGGAATTCGTAGATAAGACGTGCCAAATTATTTTGTAATTTCAGCTTTTGTTAATAATTTAGATCAATAAATATTAGTCTAAGTTTAATYAACACGAAAAATAATCTAACAAAAAACTATTTGATTAAATTATTTAGTTGTGTATTACAGTAGAACAAAACTTGTAATTCGCGACGTTTATCGCCGTAACTGGTACATTGTTGTATTCATGCATAGCTTATAGATCGAAAGTGTTATATAAATATATAATATTATTTTGTCGGCTTTCTTCAATACTTTATAATAAAATCATGTATGTTAATAAATTTTTCAGTAGCGTAGCTATAGAATTTTTGGACGGAGCAAAATTTGTTTTCCCAGTCAAAATCTTGAAATTTAATAAACTTCAATGTTATTGCTGCAATTTAAAATGATCATGCAATCATATTATGGGCATAATTAATTTTTTTAGAAGTCAAGGTTYAAACCTGAAATTTCATCGATATTGGATATTTAAATGATATTTTTTAGTGACATGTAACTTTTCGTTATTAAGTAAAATATTACAAATTAGAGTGTAATATTACGTTGTAATTATTACTATTATTATTATTACTATTATTATTATTATTATTATTATTATTATTTTCTATTCTGCGATAAAAATGATGTACGCACAGAGCTGCAGCAGCAGGCTATGTTATAGTTAAACGTACCATATTCCTTGTATCTTTCAATTATTCCCGGTTCTGGTGACACTGAATTCACAAGACGCATCAGCCACGGCGCGTCGGTCACGGTAGTGGTAACGGTGGTAAGTAGATGCTACTGCCGGGTTGAGATACGGGACTGATACCACACTTGGAGGTAGATCAGACAGTATCGCCGCATCGGTGCGAGAAACGTGTGTTGTGGTTACTGTTTAGTGTGAGCGCTGGACGGTAGACGCGTAGTTGTCGTTTCATCCATTGTTCACGACGCCGTCATTTTGTAAATTTGTTGCCGCAGCGTCTTACTGGCGAGTGCCGACATTTTATTTTGCTGTTCACTCCGTGTCCCGTGCGTGACGTTTGTCGAGACGCTATTTTTCTAGAGCAGTAGCCATATTTAGTTGTTATTTACTACTACATTTTCAAGTGAGTTCCTATCGTGTGCGTGCGTTGTACACTCCACATCAGTAATAATTATTATTTCGCAAACGTCTTCGGATTCGATTTATCACACGTGGAATTCTGTCTAGGTACTGTTATTCAGGTAACCTCATGTTGTTGACGTTTAAGCCACCTTCTCCGCACAATCACGCCATCTTTGCTTCACTTCACTTTGCTTCATCGTGCGCGTGCTTGCTGGTTCTTGTTAAAATAAATGCTTTTCTTTTTCGTATCTACCCGTCACATAATGCGTGTCGAAAAAGAATTTTTGTCCATTAGTTTAAGCTACTTTCTTTCTCGTTATCTCAACTGGAGAAACGCAGATTTATTCCGTTTTCATGACTCGGTTTTTATCATTGTTCAATTGACTTAATTATTGCCGACTTTATGAACGTTTCCATACCATTTGTTTAATTTTTTCACGTCAGTAATAATCAATATCTATCATAGAAATCTTTTGATTTGAGTTGCTACTCGTGGAGTTTCGTCTAAAAACTATTCAGGTAACATGACGTTGACTTTTAAGCCACTGTTGCTTTTCTCTATGCCCGATACGATTGAGCCATAATTTGTCTCACACAGCTTTACTTTTATTTATCAAACACACGTTTCTGTTGACAACTGTTTTGAATACGCCCAGTTACCTATCTGCCACATTTTGAAAAATATTTTTTGTCTTCTAGTTTGTTGGTACCGACTCTCTCCCCTTAACACAACACCGTCCGTGATTTCGGCTGTTATGCCTAGTTTACACGCTGCGCAGTACTTGTCATTAGTGCTTGTCACTCGCACTATGACTAGCTACTTGTCATTAGTAAATAGAACGGCGTTCTATTCACTCGCACTCCCGGTTTTACTAATACTAAGCACTATTTTTTCTTTTCACACGCAATGTGTGAGTGCGAGTGACAAGTACTAATGACAAGTACTACGCAGCGTGTAAACCCGGCATAACTCTGTGATACCGCTTAGTTCATACCATAATGTGAAATGAAACAAATTAAACTAGTGGCAAAGTAGACATATTGCATGATGTAGTATGTCACAAATGTTACAATAGTTCTAAATTTGTAAACAATTAAATATATTAAAATATCAGTCAAAATATGTGTAATATATCTAATTTAAACCTTCTATTCGTTCATATACACTGTTTTGGGAAGGCCGTCAGAAACAACGATTATCCGTGCCTAAAAATAACAAAACTCAAACCATTTATAGGTAGATTTAAATTTAGAGTTAATAGTCTATAGCCTGTGTACATTTCAGAGATTATTAAAATAAAACCAATTAAATTATGGTGAATATAAACGTGCTCTTACTGACGCATGTACACATCAATAGCGTTGAAAGTGTTAAAGTAATTTGTGTAGCACCCAGATTGATTTCATTTTTTTCTTGGATAATTTTTAGTAATGTGAAATATTTTTACTGGACCCAGTAGGACCTACTATTAAATCACAAATTGGTACTTATCAGTTATCACGAATACCTAATCCCAAATATCTGTTTGGTTATCAATAAACAATTCGGTAAGGCTTAAATTGGTGGCTTTGGCAAAATAGTAGAAATCGACTAGTCTTTTTAAAAGCTGTAAAATTAATGTTGGTAGAGTTTTATCTCAACAATGGATTTTTGGGGGCATTTGTCTTGAAAACGATAAAATGTTTTTTAGTTTAAGTTAAAGATTGGACTGCGTCTACACTTATATAAGCAATAAAATATTACACAAACCGAAATATAACTATTTATTTCAATATTATTGGCATGGTTATAAAACTGATAAACTAAATTGAACTTACAATTTCTTAAATCAATCCTCAAACTGGTTTTCACACATAGAATGTCAAAAGGTTCTAAGAGATCCCCTAAATGGTACAACAAAAAACAGAGGTAGGTATAGTTCGATCCAGTGGCGCCCAACCCTATTACTAGGTGTAGAGGTCGCTACACCTTGAAAATATGGGGTGGTTGACAGATGGGTATAATAACATAAAATAATTAACTTGAAATTTGTTCATTATTAATTATCATATTGGTTGGTACATACCTATTTACAGAGCTATTTTCTAATATTATCAATTAAAATATGATAAAATGTTTGAAATAATATAATTTTGCGTTTGTTATGGGGTGGGTGAGTAGGTAAAATTAATTCTTGCTACACCTGAAATATATATCTTGGGTGCCACTGGCTCATCCGCATTCTAAACAATTGTTTGGTTGAATTCATGTGACGTTAAAAGCACAATAATCCATTTATAGGCATTTTAAATTACACGGTTGAGTATCTTCTTGAGTTAATTTCTAATTTTGAATTGTATTCCTAGTTTATTTTTAATTCATTTTTTAAATTACGCTGTTTAAAGGAATGTAGTTGCAATAACCAATAAGTACCCATACATTTAATGGATAGGATATTTAAATTCATGATCAATACATAATATAATATAACTCATTTTTGAAACAGAGTTGATTATCATTTTCTGAGAAATAGCAGCCTAATCTGTAGGTAGATGATGTAAGTTATAAAGTTAAGAGGTTAATTTTTTTTTTTTGAGTAAGATGAAAATAAAAGTTGGAAATCGTTGATTAATAGGTACTTAGTTAATGCTCAATTTTTATTATTAGGTATGATTTTATAATTTATTTAGGTTAAGAGGGAACTTGAAGATAGCATTCTAAAAATCATTGACAATCAATGCTTTTAGTCATTCTAGTGGCGGCTTGAGTCTACAAAATTTAAAGAACAAGCTTCACCCACCCTTCTATCAACTAAATATACTATGACCAATACAATATTTTAAGGTTCTCCATAATTTGAATTTTACACGTAGTTCTTCAATTAATAATAGATACATTTATGGTTAAGTAGAATGACTAATCTTCGAGCTAATCTTCTGTTACGATGTGTTATTTAAAAAAAAAAAAAAAATTGTATGAAAATTAGGGTGTCCAGATTTGAATGTAAAATGCATTATTTTTTTCTTTGAAAATAATTTTGTCGTACAAAATCTGTTTCATGCATCAGAGAATTTAAATTTTGAATTATTTGCAGCTAAGCTTTTTTTTTTAGAATTTAGGTAATTTTGTTAAATTTTAGTGGGTGTACATAATATAAATTTTAGATTAAACTTAATTGGTAATTCAAAATATTATCCTAAGAAATTTAGTTCTAACCATTTATTTATCCAGGTACCTATTTATAATTGTGATAAGTTCATATTGCCTATATTTATCTACAATTTATTACATGCATAACTCTATGCTACTAACAACTAGTTGGTGTTACATCGTAATCAAGTTTATATCGTTAAGCTCGAATTTTTGTTTGTTCAAAAATGGTTAAAACAATTTTTTGGTAATTTTTTAAAAACGTTATTGCGTTTAAATTAATTTTTTTGACCCATACAATTTATTATGTGGGTGGGTAATTTTGTTTGGGTAGGTACACATGCTGTATGTCATCCACAAAAAATGACTACTTTTGTTGTATGCTATCTACGTGAAAAAATGTATTCCTAACCGAGACCTCTAATAATTATGTTCGGTTCTATCTCAGATGCATTTAATATCATGAAAAATAAAACCAAACTCTTATCCCGATATCTGATGATTTCACTAAGCTCGGWCCGTACCCAATACCAAATAGACCATAATATGAAAAAACTTAATGAGGAATTGGCTTCACGTATATCCAAAGGAGAAATTGACTTAACTATAAAATTTATAAGAGAAGTACCAACAATTATTCAAAAATCTATTATTAATAATGTACAAAATCCCATAAATTTTTAAATTTGCATGTTTTTTACCAAAATGTTAGAGGTCTGAGGACCAAATTAATTTATTTTCGTAATTATATTCTTACTTTTGATTGTGATTTATTATTTTTATCTGAAGCTTTGCTTAATATAAATTATAGTGATGATGAATTAGGACTTGTTAATTATAATATTTTTAGAGCTGACCGTGAATCTAGTCATGAAGTCAGTCAGGGGTGGTGGAGTTTTATTAGCTATAAATATTAAATACAATTGCATTAGAATACCCACAGAAAGTATTGTTGGTATAGATTTTGTTTTTACTTTATTAAATTACAACAATTGTAAATTGTTATTGAGCTGCGTTTATGTACCTTCAAATACACATAATTATAGTTATACTAGTTATTGTGAACTTGTAGAAAGATTAATTTCCTCTTATTGTATTACAAATATTTTAATCATAKGTGATTTCAATTTACCCGGGTTTGTGTGGTCAATCAATGAACCTTCATCAAATAATATTGTTAATTTGGTTGCAAATAGTCTCATTAACTTTCTTGATTTAATACAGTGTAATAATGTTATAAATCATCGCCAAGATATACTCGACTTATTTTCTCAGATTGTCAAATTAATAATATTCGTAAAAGTCTATCCCTTACACCGATTTTTGATGCTTATCATCCACCTTTGGAATTAATCTACCCATTAACCTCTAGTCCAGTTACTCTAGTCGAATCATTAACTCCTATCATGTATAATTTTGATGAAATGTGTACATTTTTATCAGAATTTTATTTTATTTATAATTTTAAAAATATGAGTTTGAATGCTGCTACTTATAAATTCTATGAAATTATAAACCATACTTTTGATGTTTATGTTACTAAATTTAAATTTAATCCCAATAATAATCAAAACTTTACGTGGAAAGATCCTGTCCTTCGAAATCTTATTCAATTAAAAAAACAAGCCCATAAACAATTTAAATTAAGTAATTCTCAACATGATTATTTTACTTTTTCTGAACTGCGTAAAAAATGTAAGTCTTTATCTGCCCAAGTCCATGCAAACCATATCTTTAAAATTGAAAAAAAAATAAATAGTGACTCGAAGTATTTTTGGAAATATATCCAATCCTTGAGATCAAATAAAACTAACATCCCTGCTACTGTTTACCTGGATAATATTGTTTCTGGCAATATTAATTGTACAACAAAATTATTTGCTGATTATTTCTCCTTCGTTTACGCTGATTATTCTAAAAATACTAATTTTTATGACGACTCTCTGTTAATCAGACATGATATTAATTTGAGTACTTGGTTTATTTCGG